AAAACGCAAACTACTCGAAAATTGCGACAATTCAACCATGCAGTTCGATCTTCATGTATTCACCGACGCTCCAAAGAACGCCTTCTGTGCAACAGCATATCTTGTCCAGCACTTCGTGAAGTCTCCACATAAGGTATCTTTCATCATGTCAAAATCACGACTAGCTCCTTTGCGTCAATCAGTCACCATACCACGACTGGAACTATCGGCTCTCGTTATAGGAGCTAAATTACTCAACTTCGTTTCTAAGCAGTTAGATGTCCACGTAAGTGAAAAGTTTCTATGGTCCGACAGTACTATTGCTCTGAATTGGGCACAAAGTCGGAAAGAACTCCCTGTTTTTGTGCGAAACAGAACCAAAGTCATCTAAGAACTGACTTCTGACGTCACGCTAAAATATATCCCCACGGAGTGGAACCCCGCGGATATCGCTTCTCGGGGAGCCACTATAACAGAACTATCACAATCCTCACTGTGGTGGCATGCTCCAGAAATTCTCTCTCAAGATAAATCAGATTGGTTCCCACCCCTCAAAGGACTGCTGGAGGAAGCAATTCTTCTATCGGGGCAACAACGATGCAAAACAAAAGAGACCCAAACTCCTCTGGTATCGCTACCACTCAACATTACGGAAATTACAACAACCACGAAGACGGAGAGTTCCCCATCATTTATTGACACATCCAGATTCAGCACTTGGAATTCACTGCTGCTAGCAGTCGTTTTCGTCCTACGCTTTCTCGTGTCAAGCTCCAGAAAAGCGGCAAAATATTTTGGAACAACTGGAGCAGTACTTCATACCAAAGCGGAAATCATTTTATTTCGTCTTGCCCAAAATCAAAATCCACCGCCATGTGATCATATAAAACAATTACACCTGTCTCGTTGTAGAATGACATCTTTGTGGAGATCAAAAGGACGCATTGAAAACGCCCTACTAGAGCAAGAAGCTACTATCCCAACATTTCTCCCTACCAAAAATTGAATCACCTCGCTATTCATCCTTCATACGCATACGATCAATAATCATTGCGGGGTTAATCACACTTTAACGGAACTACGACAAAGAGTATGGATTCCCAAAGGATGCTCAGCCGTCAAGAAAGTGATCTCCAATGATTGCTTTCATTGCAAAAAATATCGCGCCAAACCATTTGTGCTTCCACCATTTCTTATTCTTCCCAAAGAGCGAGTGGTGAAACCACATTATCCTTTCGAAAACGTGGGAATGGACATTTCTGGTCCACTCTCCTATCGGACTAAGGATAAAGTCACAGATAAATATTGGGGACTTCTCTTTACCTGCCTAAATAGTCGTGCAATTCATGTCGATGTCATCCTTGACATGACCACTCGCACGATACTACACACATTAAGGCGCTTCATCGCCACTAGAGGCTGCCCAACATGGATAGTGTGCGATAACGCTCAGTCATTCAAATCGATCGCAGAATGCTACTCATCACTATCCCCCCAAGCCAACATCGATAAAGATGTGCTAAATTATTGCGCTTAGAAAAGAATACAGATAAAATTTATACCAAGTTTGAGCCCTTGGGGGTGTCTGTGAAAAAATGATAGACATTTTCAAAAAATCCTTTAAACATTCAGTCGGAAGCAATTTACTAGACATTGAAGAAATCATAACCCTTCTGAAAGAAGCGGAAGCTATTGTGAATACTCGAGCATAACGTATAACACCGATGATCGAGACTATCTTCCCCTACGACCAATCGACTTTCTTTACCCATACGCAAATAGCTGGATCCTATCCAGAAGAGACATCAGACGAATGGACACCAGTCACAACAACACGAGAGACGCTGCTGTCACAATGGAGAATCAAATCAGAAATGCTCACGAAATTCTGGAAGCGATGGAACTCTGAATACCTCACTTTTCTTCGTGAGCAGTACAAAACAGAACACGAACAACCAAGATCACATAAACACGGTCAACCCAACAACGGCGATTACATAATCATCGAAGACGCAAATTTGGATAGAGGCCAATGGAAAATGGGCCAAGTCGTAGGTTCGCGTGATGATTTCAAACGATCGGTACAAATACGACTACCATCCAGACGAATAATCACGAGACCCAACAATATGATATACAAATTGAAAATCCAATCCGCAAAACCATCTCAAGCGCAACCAACAATCCCTACTCCATCCCATCATCAAATGGTGACAAGATCAAAAGCCAGACAACAAACAATGAATGTATTACTATGTATCACTCTTCTCTCCAGCATCCATTTCGCTAGACGGAGAAAACAATACTCTATGCAACTCACTGCGCACAGAAAGGAGTCGCAGTCGCAAATTTACGAGTAGAAAATAAAGAAAAGCTATGCTGGTTTCCCATCTACTGCCCACACGGAGCAATACATTTTCACCACTCAACAGAAACAAGTACATCACTGTGTGGAAGAAAATGTGAGTGCCCACAATGGTCATCATCATGTTACTACACCAATAGTCATCGAAAAGAAATGTCTAACTTTGCTTCTCTCCCTTCCGCACTCTTGCACTACCGACCATCTTACGTATGTTCCTTTGAACCATCCTCAACATGCGACCAACCAAACTCCACCTATCGGCATTTTCAATCAAATACAACTGTTTGACAACACCACAATATTAGTTGAGCATCTCGATATCAATATCCAAGATTATATAGATGAAAACGATTTCATTTGCATGGACCACAAAGGATGGCGAAGAGATCCAGTAAACGCACTTTCAGGCACATCAAAACATCCTGCGAAAAACATCATTGTGAACAAAAAGCACGGTTGTTTTGCGTATACGACAACCTCTCGCAACGCTTGTCGTGAATGAGTCATCACACGCCACGACGCCGATCATACTGAAGGCATGGGGAACAATTACGAAGGCCTATTACGGACATGCAAAAGCTCCTTCTGTTGCGCAAACTCCATTACAAGTAGAATGCTTTCCGGGGAGGGGTCTCAGTGACCAGTGAAAAGCAGATCGAGACAATTGAGGTTTGCATCGCAAACTATTGTACAATCTCCACTGTAGACACATTTCAACAGATGCTCTTTCCCAATTCCTTAGTGACATATGACTACACGGCAAAAATGCAAGCATTCCACAAAGGTAAAAGAATTTTTGCGACCAAAATAACATGCACATGCAAGGCTTCTCCGATATGCGAAACCATGCAATGTACGGCCTGCTGGGAATGAATCCAAAGCTCGCAATGCTGGACTTATCCTTAATGGAGCTATATAGTTCTTTTCATAGCCATAGTCACAATATCAGCACCTTTCCTGTGCTGCGTGATGAAAGGAACTTACCACCTACTCAAGTTTTCGTATAGAATTATCAGAAAAGTGGTGAATAGCTTACGCATAAAATTTGCATAGGAAAGCCGAAAAATATTTTCCCATGCAGGTATATCAGCAAGCGAAAACGAAACTCTAACCGCAAGCTGCTAACATGTACAGTCTTGATATTGCTGCAAACACATGGAACGCAACAATGTTCACAATTCACTTCCATTACGGCAAAAGAAGGAATCTGTACGACACAAGAGGACAAAGAAACCTGCGTTTTCAATGAAGCAACCCTCATTACACTTCAACCCCT